AAAGGGGAGCTAAGAAAACAGCTAGTATTCCAAATTGGTTGATATGGAGAGCTTATAAAAATGAGTACCAAGAAATAAGGTGGGAAAGGTAGGGTGGAGAGTGACAGTTTATTCTGTAAGCATTAGAGAGCCAGTGAAAATATTTTGAGCAAGGAAATGACATAGCCAGATACATACTTTAAGAGATTATTTTTGTATCTTTGTTTGGGGTGGTTTTGAGAAGGCAGAGAACGAAACCAGTAAGAATGATTACAAGGCAATTATGGTGGACCAAGGTGAGAAATCAGAATCATATGATCCTCCCACAGGAATTGGAAGGAATTTGAGAGGTCATCTAATTCAACTCCTTCATATAACAAATGAGGAAAATGAGGCTGAGAGGAGTTAAGTGCCTTGTCCAAGGTGGTGAGTGACAGAGAAGAGAGCTGCAACTCGATCCTTTTCGAAAAGGGCTAGAAAAGAGTGAGTGCTCTGTACATATAATGAACAGGATAAATTCATGAGATATTGGTAGAAGAATCAACAAGTTTGACAAATGGCTTGACAAATGATTGGATATGAGGAAGAAAGGAGACTAGAGAGTCAAAAATAACTCTGAGTTTAGAAAATGGGTCAAGGAAGATATTCTCAACTGAAATAGAGAAGTTCAGAGAAGAGGAACGTTTGGGGGAAATGATAAAGAATTCTTTTTTTGGATATGTTGATTTTGAGACTTCAACAGCTCATACAAATGGAACTGTTAGTTCAGTACAGGGGATTGGAGTTCATGAAAGGGACAGGCTTGGAGTCAGGAAGACCTGAGTCCAAATTCAGCCTCAGATACTTATTTCCTACGTGACTCTGAGCAAGTCACATAACCTTTGTTTGCCTCAGTTTCCTCATCTTTAAAATGGAGGTAATAGTAGCACCTATCTCCTATGGTTGTTGGAAGGATCAAAAGAGATAATGATTGTAAAATGTTTAGCATAGTGCCTGGCATATAGTAAATGCTATATAAATGTTAGTTATTATTACTATTAATAGTGTTGGCTTTATGGACTTTGGAGTTATCTCCATTGAATTACTAATTCAACCCATGGGCTTTTAGGAGTCCCTCACAAAAGAAAAGTGAGAGAAAGTAATGTGAGGAAATAAGGAGGAAAAGTTTCAAGGGAAGACTATGAAGGATACTCACTGTAAATGGATAGAAGTAAAATGACGGTAAAGTAAAGGAACAGAAGAAGCATATAGAAAAGCAGGAGAACTGAGAATGAATAAAACCATGGATACCAAGGGAGGTCAAATGCTGCAGAGTGTCAAGTAGGATGAAAAAAAGAGAAAATCCCATCAGATTTCATAATTAAGAGACTGTCTGTAACATTAGAGATAAAGATTTTCAAAGTAGTAATGGGATTAGGGAAAAAGGGGAGATGCAGCCAAAATAACCTAGGACATCATGAGGAAGAACCAATTACACTGATAATGTAGAGATGTAATGAAAATGAAGAGGTATGGAAAACAGAAAACAAACACCAGCAGAGTCTCTATACACCTATAATCATAAAATCATAGATTTAAACCTAGAAGGTACTTTAGAGACCACTTATTTCAACATCTTCATTTTATAAATGAGGAAATAGAGCACATGTTATGTGCCAGACACTGTGCTAAGCTCTGGATATTCAAAGCAAGAGAAAAAAGTACAAAGCAGCCCTTGCCCTCAAGGAGTTTATACTTTCTTGGTTTTGCAATATAAACTTTTAGTGGGGGCAGAACAAAGATTGAGTATTAGGGGCAAGCACCAAACTGAACTCTCCCAACTTAGGAATCAGTAGGAACAACTTTAAAATAACTTCACAAATCAAATTCTGACATGGCAGAGCCAACATACAGTCAAAGTAAGACATTTTTCCAGCCTAAAAACACTTAAGAGGTTAGCAAGTCTATGACACCGTAGTAGATTTCTGTCCAAAGCCCACACCTGCAGAGGTGTCAGCAATAGCGGCAGCAGCTTCAGTAGCTCTCAGCCCAGAGATTGTAAGGGGGTCAGACAGCTGATGAGAAAGAGATAATAATGGACCCTTTGCTGGCACCAAGGGCAGCCAGTACTGATTAGCAGTTCTATTTCAAACATGCAGTTTTGGATCACAGTTCCAGGGTGGAAAGGAGCACCGATGGTCAGTCACAAAGGAATGAGGCCCTAGTCACAGTTTCAAGGTAAAAAGGAGCATCAGCTCATACAACTGTAGGGGACCAGAAGCCTTTCCATGGTAAAAACCAGAGTGTAGGCTAGGAGACAGTGACCACACCTTCCTAAGATCACCTTGGAAGTACCAAAAACTTGGAGACCTGTTCCACTCCCCACCTCATCCCCTCCCTGAACTAGCTCTGAAAAAAGCAGCACTAAAGCCTCCCCAACTCCAGGTGAGCAGAGCCCAACTTTGATATAAAGCTCAAAGTCAAGAAATAGGCTTGAAAAAGTAGCAAACAACAAATTTGAACTTAGGAAGCTGAGTCTTCCAGACTCCACACCTGGCACTGTATTCATTGTACATTGAATAACTCATTTATTTATTTGTAAGGCACAGCTAGTAAGTGTCAAATGTCTGAGGCCACATTTGAACTCAGGTCTTCCTGAATCCAGGGCCTGTGCTCTACTCACTGCACCATCTAGCTGTACCCCATTAAATAACTTATAAGGGTATGCTGTTGACTGTGCTTTCACTTTCTAACAAAAATGGCTTAGATTTTACAGTCACAAATAATGTATAGAAACCATCAGTCCCAATCATAAAAGTGATTCATTTAAAGTTTTACCAATTAAATTGCTTTATCAATGAGGATATAACAAAATGTTATATTGTATGAGAAGAAAGTATTGAATTTTCCAATGGAAAATAAAGATAGTTCATTGTATTGATTAGAAACAACAACAAGAACAACAACATACTATATAATCTAGCTGGTATTCATCTCTAGTTAGTTTCAAAGTGCCAAGTGTGAGATGTGTGTCTTTGGGACATGGGGAAGATTATTGAAGTCATCTAGTTAGGCGTATTTGAAAATATACCATTCATTTCATCATGATGGAGGTCAGACGTCGTTAATGAATTTGAAATAGAATACATTACTCATACAAACAAATGATTGCTAAAAGTCTTTCAGATTCAAAATGAGGCAATTATATACTGCCAGTAGAAATCATTTGGGGAAGATGAGACCTGTGGTTTTATGATCTTATCCATTAGCATATAATATGACTGTTTTTTGTTAAATTATTTTTAATAAGCACAACTGCTATCCTTTAAAGCCAATACCTTGGGATAGGCCAAGTAATTCAGACAGATTCCACTGATCAAAGCCCTTTGAGAACTTTGCTTTCAGAGATATGTTCAGTATCACACAAGCAAACTTGTTTCCTTTCTCTGAGGAGCTGGCAGGTACATGAGGGAATAAACTCATTCTGCCTGGCTGCAGAGGGCAGAATTAGAAGCCATGAAGGGAAGCTTCAGAGTAGAAATTTGGATTGGATGTAAAGGGAAAACCAACAAGTGTTTTTTGCTTCTTCCTCCCCCTCCCCTCCCCCTCCATTATGAAAACTGATGTCTAAGAATGATTTAAGTAGAAGTCATATCATAAAAATTTCTGCTAGTCAGTAAAATGACTGTTTTAAAAGGCTTAAAACCCTGTTTTGTTATGCAAACTCTAGTGTTATTTGATTTAAAGCAGTCAAATCATATCTGATCTAAGACAACAGGAAATTACTTTAATACAAATTCAGTTACATTAATGATACCACAAAAAAATTAAGAAAAGGAAAACTATAGAACCCCATTCCATACAAGTAGACATACTTCATCTTAAAAGGTCAAATCTATATGCAAATGTAGGTAAGTTAGATTGTAACTACTAGATTGATGAGATGTTGTACAAGCCCTGAGAGCCAAACCTGTCCATTACATTTGTGAATTTTCTAGGCTAAATGAATATCTGCTACTGTCTGGGCCAATGGCCAACCAAATACAAAAATGTTGCTGATGATAGGTGTGATCTTTAGCCCACTAAACTGGAGAACAGGTAAGGGATTAATAAATGTTTGCTAGGTAAACAAACAATGTTGTCAATGTTGCCCCTACTCAAATGCAATTTCATTCCTGATTTCAGAAATTGGATAGTTGCTAACAACAATACTTCTTTACCTCCTAAATTGCAAAAGATTTTAAAATATGCAATTATTTCATAAAGAGTCTCCTTTTAAAAGCTCTATGATGGTAACATTTTGGGATCCTGATCTTTGTGTTTCTTACTCTTCCCTCCTGAGAAAATTTTCCTCGTGTAAAAATTGTAACAAATTTGCTCTACTAAAAATATCCAGAGAATTTTATTTCATTATTTAATTTCTTGCTCTGAGAGAGGATCCAAACTCAGGTCCTCCTCGTTATGGGTCTACTACGTCACCTCGTTGCATACTGGTAACATATTCTAGTAGAACCTAAATCTATAACTGGGCAATTATGAAGCTAATGCTGAGTCTGTTTTTCTACATTTGACTCAGATTTTCATTATAGAAGGAAATATCTTTCCCTGTTTTGTTTTAGGGAGCCCCACAGTTAAGAGCTCCACTTTCCACCTGATTATCCCAAACCCCAAGGAAATGAAAAGCAGATTTTTTTTCCCAAAAAGTCTGGAGAAACATGACAATATCCACTCTTTCCAAACAGCATCTTCATTCTTAAAGTAATGGCTAATCCAAAGGAGGGAATGAGGTGAGCATTTTAGGCTTCCTACAAGGGACCTAATTTTGAGGAAAGGGAAGGTCCTTAGGATATTCTTGAATGATACCATGTGGGATGTGGACAGCCACTTATTTTACCTGTGTGTTGAAAACAACATTCTCCATGCTGTAATAGTATAACTTTTGTTTAAAAAAAAAGTTCAGAAATCAAACCAACTAACTAAAGGTAACACCAAGACTATAGAATCAAGCTGTTTAAAATTGGACAGGCAAGACAGTGACCTACCTGTGACTTTGCCCAATGTGAGGGACCTTACCGCCCGGAAGTCGACCTCTGAGGAGAAGTTATATCTGTACAAAGGATGTTGGTCCACCTGTAATAGTATAGCAAACAAAACTTAATTAGTGAAGGGACAGATGAAGGGTACAAAAGACCCCAGGCTGAAAATGTCTTAGAAAAAGCAGAGAGTTCCTAGCTCCCTCTGGGGTTCTCTGTCTGAGAAAATTTAATAGAAAGGTCTAGCTAATTTTGCCCCAGTGTAGATGAAATGCCCATTTTCTTTCCTATTTAAGAATAAGGGTGTTTTCAGGCAGACTTTTTTCCCTGGGAAGTCCTGTAAAACATTTGACAGGTATTTATCCCCCCCACAGAGACTTTCTCTCCACATTTATTGCTCTGAATGCCACAAATAAACAAATCAATGAAGTCTTCCCAGGAAGGCACTGTGCAGGATTAGCATTAAGGAGGGAACAAAATAGGATTTTCCCTTGCCTCTCATTTCTCACTGCCTCACTCTCTGTCCTCACAGACCAGCTCTCTCTGTAATTAAGGCTCAGCACAGCGGAGTTACCTGCAGCTCAGAGATCGCAGGAGGCTTCTTTTATGGGGGCTGTGCCTTTTCAAAACAGACTGTGATTCACCCCAGTAGCATGAAGACTCATGGTCCCTTTTTGCCACACAGACTCTTGCTAATACACTGTTACAAAGTTTCAAAGACAAAGGGATTTTTTTTTTTTTGCTTTTCAGAGTACAAAAACAAATCTGGTGTTGCTGCTGCTACTGCTGTTTGACCTGGCACAACGAGATCGGGGGATCTAGGTTCAAAACCTGTCTCTGATATTTATTACCTGAGTGACTTTGACCTCATCACTTAACCTCCCTGAGATTCAGTTTCCTTAACTAATGTTAGAAGAAAGACTGGGTGATCTCCGAGTTTCCCTCTAGTTCTAGATGTATGATCCTATCATTTCTGATTTCATCAGTATAAGGAATTTTCAGTGAGGAATTTCATCTTCCAGGGCCAGTCAGTAGCTGTTGCACATCTTCAAGTTAGAGAGCTGACTGATGCATTAGGAGACTGGTCCAGTCAATATGTGGCAGTGACAGGGCCAGGGATGTGCTGGCATACTTAACAACTGACTCTAATACACACATACACACACACACACACACACACACACACACACGATACGCTCTTAAATTTAATCTGTGTTATTAAATTTTTTCTGTCATTTTACTATGTCTAGACAATCAAAACCATAATAACTCAAGCCCTGATTTGTAAACTTTGCTGATTTCCAAGGTGTAGATTCTCACACTGAAAATTTAATAAATGACTTACACACTAGTTTGAGTTGGGTGTTGCACACCCCTACATAGGACTCATGGGCTGCTTTTTAATAATTATAGCTTATTTATTTTACTACTTGATAAATATTTCAAATACATTAGCTAATTTCAGTCTCATAAAAGCCCAAGAAGAAAGGCACTGTTTTGTTGCCCATTTTATAGATTAAAAAACAAAACAAACTAAAACATGAAAAGGTTAAGTGACCTACTCAAGGTCATACAACTAGTAAAGAAGTACAGACCTGTTTCCAAGTATAATGATCTTTCTATGAATCCTTGTTGGGGCCTTAGGTACGTGAAAAAGCTATAGAAATGCTATATTTTTAGACAAGCTTTTCAGGACCTCTATTCTAGTTAGGCATGTTTTATTTCTCTTCAGAAAATAACTTCCATATCCAGATGCCTGCTGCTCCTTTCAATTTCCCTCCTTGCCTCATCTTGGTCAAATCTTCTTCATCTTTCAGTGTTCAGCTCTGTTAAATAATATCTGTTCAGAATTCTAAGTCGCCAGAGATCATTAGTCCCAATTTCTCATATACAAATGAAATGAAAAGACTCACATACATGAAGTGACTTGTCAAGGTCACATAGCTGGTTAAATGGCAGAATAAACCTGTATCCCTATCTTCTGACTTCCAGAGCAGAGCTTGTCCCACCACAACTCACTGATCATTTCCAGTTGTTTCACCTAGTAATTCTCACTAGGGGCTCAATATCATTTTGATCTCATTGTTCTTAGAGCTATTGTACCATTTAATTATCATTTAATTATTATCCTTCAGTTCAATTTTTCCATCTCTTTCTCATTTGCCCAGCTATATCTCTACTACGATCTCTTTAAAGGCAGAGTCCACAAGTGATTTGTGGTTATGCTGAAAGAATAAGACTTGTAGCTAAAAGCTGTTAGTAGAAATTCCAATTTGGCCACTTAATAGTTGAGTGGCTAGGACAATTCAATTAACTTCCCTGAGTCTCAATATCCTCACTTGAAAAGCGGGGAGACTAATATTTATATTATGTGTGGCTCAGGGTTGTGATGAAACTGCTTTATAAAACATAAAGTCTTCTTTAAATATGCATAGATGAGAACTATTATTCACGAGAGCATCAAGCATAGGTCTGGGCTCATAGCAGTATACAATAAATACTTGTCTGTGGATTGATTGATTGAAGATGCCACTTTTGACATGTGGATGAGTACAGATGGCTTAGAGATTTTTTCCCCGTTTTCATTATGACAGGCCTCCATCTAAAAGCCTTCAATGGCACCCTTGACTATATGATAAAATACAAACCCCTTAGTGTAGCATGTGAAGTTATCCATAATCAGTTTCCAAATTGTTTTTCTTGCCTTAGCATATATTATTTCCTTATTTGGACCCTCCAACACAGCTATTTATTCACCATTCCCTAAATGAACCTGGATTTTTTTTTACCCTCAGTATGTTTGCTGATACCCTTTTCAGAATTCATACTCTGCCCTAAATTCATACCCTCTGCCCTAAAACAGCTTAAATTTTAGGATCGGTCAAATCTCAATTTATCTCAGTCCCTTCCTTCATTAATAGTTTCTAGCCCTCGGTTATCTCTTCCTCTTAAAACCATCAAGTTTTGAGCTTAAAGAAAATCCCAGGAGACACACTGGTATACTGCACATAGGTGACAATTAAAGGTCTGTTGAATTGACCTTCAGGCTTGGTATGGTATCATAGACATACCAATGAATTCAAAGTTGAGTGAAAGATACTGAACCTGTATTGTGCTAATAAATATAAACTATACACCAAAAAAAAAAGTTAAGAAAGATGAATTTGAATTCTAGCTTTGCTATTTATAACCTATGTAGCCTTCTACAAGGTGCTTCAGAGCTCTGGGCCTCAGTTTCCTCATTTGTAAGATAGGAGAGTTGGACTTGATCCATTAGGTTTCTTCCAATTCTAAATCCAATGATTCTAGGGATCACCTAACCATAGATTCACAAAATCATAGATTTACTGTTAGAAGGAACCTTAAAGGCCAATTTACTGTAGTCTAGCCAGTTCACTTAAGAGATGAGGAAAATGGGGAATAGGAACCCAAGGTCACAAACCAAAGTCTGATTCTAAATCCAGGATCCTTTATACTATGTGAGACTGATGACAACCTTAGCCTCACTGCCTCATTTTATGGATTACAAAAAAAGCCCCTAGAGCTTAGTTTCCTTCCCCTGCCCCATCAGATCACATATAGCTAACTATTGGTAAAGACATGATAGGACTCAGAAGGCCTCATAATTCCAGGCCTAATAGGTTTTTTTTGTTATTATTGTTGTTTGTTTGTTTTCATTCTGCAAAACTGTGAACAATGACTTCATAGAGAGAGCTTCTTATTTGTATCACTGAGTGATTGATACCTGTTAACCATGTGGCTGTAGGAAAGTCACTTAACATCTCTGAGACTCAGTCTTCTCTGTCAAGTGAGTAATACCAGAGCCAATAAGCTTACAAAATTGTTATGGGAAGGTTATTAGTAAACTCTAAAGCTCCATGTAAATATTGACGATCATTAGGCTCTGTATCCACGAACTAACTTGTGAAATAATTTGTGTTGCCTTAAATTGCTTCCCCAGTGAGAGTTCGAATTCTTTTTTCCATAGGAACGGTCAGCATCTCGCAGGATTTCGTTGTCCAAGTGTTTTCCTACCCTGTCTCCTCTCCTTGCCTTCAATCTACCTAAAGCTCAGAAGTGAGAATTCTTCATCCAGTGTCTCAGAAACACAACCTGTGAGCTAAAATGAGCTTGGAGGTCATCAATCTTCATTTTCTAGAGGTTAAAGATTTCACTGAGGCCAAATAACTAATTAGTGGCAGAGCCTGGACAAGCACCCATTTCTCCAAAGTCTTAAGTCAATGACTTAATTCAATTTCATCAACTATAGTATATTTTTATTTCACTTTATGATTACAAGACACTTCATTTGAATTAACTTATTTGATCCTCACAACAGTGAGATAGATAAGAGGCATATTACTCCATTTTACAGATGTGGAAACTAAGACTCAGAATAGTTAAGTGACTTATCCAAGTTAAATTCTTCTGCCTCCCTGTGACTCATAATTTCTGATCCTTTCCTACCACTGAAACCTTTCCCTTCCTTCTCTTCTTCTGCCTACTTCCTAGTAGTTTAGAGTTTTTCTTTTTTGTTCTACTTTATTCTTCTGTCCTCTTCCCTAACTAGCCTAGTATTTCCATATTACATAACACATACAACACACATATGCAATTTATATTGGAGAAGGGGCTATGGAGGCTTCTAAGGTCTTGATGAGTAGTGAGGACAATTTATGTAGCTCTGGAAATTGAGGTGAAGTCTCCTTGCTCAGGCAATATCACCATTCCTTCCACCTACCAAAAGTCTGTTTTCTACTAATAAAAAAAAATTGTTAGTAATGCTGTATATATGGTGATTTATCACACTATTCTACTTCCACATAATATTTCTGTGACATTGAAAGAGTCATTTGGCTTCTCTGGCCTCAGTGTTCTCACTTGTAATATGAGGAATTGGCCAGAGTGGTCCCTGGACTTCCTTTCAGATCTAGATCTATGATTCTTTGATGATCCTGTGATGTGAGAGGACCTTTGACATCCCTTCTCACTTTAGACTGATTTTTTGATGATCATTTAAGGACTCAACTCGTGGCTCATTCTTGCTTCTTATACCTCATGCTACTCTGAATTTTGGCTGCTTATTTGCTCCTAAACATTTCTATCAGAGCTCTAATATGTAGTATAGATAAGATGAGTTGGAACTCATAAAGGTTGTTAGTAGTGTTTCGTAAAGTTGTGGTAGGGAAGAAAGCGGAAAAAAATGATTCAGATGGAAGATGGGGATTGCTGCTATATTTGACCCTACCTGGAATAGTAAAAAGCATGATGGATTAAGTATTGAGAGACCTGAGTCCTAAACTTAGCACCTTCACTACCTTGTTGTATATCCATGGGCAAAATCACAACTTTGGATTCAATTTCCCATCAGGAAAATGAGAAAGCTGAACTAAATTATATCTAAGGTTTCTTTAGTTCTAAAATTCTTGGTATTCTATTTTTAAAATGCCCACTGTATCTCCAAATAAATATTTTGAGACTGTAGAAAATAATTCTTAAAATAAAATTACTTAGAGATTTGCCTACTGCTTTATATGTTGAAATAAGGTGATGTCTATGAAACTGGTTTGAGAATTGAAAGGCATTTTTATTATTAAGAATCAAGCTGCATATAAATAGAGAAAAGAATAAATTCCTTTTTCTTTCTTTCTGGTTCTATATTTCTCATTCTCATCCTTTGTTCTTTCTGCTGACTTTGTTCATTCATGCTCATTCATTCATTCATTCATGTTTTCATTCAATGAAATTGAATTCAATGAAAATTCAATTCAAATAAAACTTACTGAAAATTTTCCTGGCCCCTTATTGAAATAAGAACAGGGAATATGTGGGGGAGGGAAGAAAATAAGGATCATATTGTCTGACTCTCCTCTACTCTACCCCCCCAACCACCTCACTACTAATAATTGGTTAATGGCTGTGAGATATGAAATGCATTTGCAACTATGTCAAAGGTAGATATAGTACCTGAATAGTGAGTTCTTTCCCATCTCTGTTAATCTTCACATGGTGTAGTTGTCTGTTGGCAAAGTTTTCCACATCGATGGTATACACATGGACTCTTTCCTTACTCAGCTGATATCGAACCTGTAAATTTCCTTAAAAGCAGAATATATTTCCATTTAGAATTGTAACCCATAGAAAGCACAAATATGATTCATACATTACATTTTTAAAGCCATCATTACTGACCTCAAGGGGCCCATTTCTCAAATCCCTTATCACTGCATTAAAAAAAAAATGAATATGCTTGGTGCCATAGCCACAGGCAAATGTAAGGGATGACATTAGTATGGGTACAAACTAAATGTAATGTACGCATATGTCATCAGAAATACCATGTAATGTCTTTGCAAACAAAAATTCTGAATTATCTATTGTGACACTGGAGAAATTTTAATTAACTATAGTTGAGGGTCTTTCACTTTAACTCTCTGTCCCTTAAGTTTAGAGACACAAATATGGAAATCCACTGTGGGCCCAGGAAATTTATCTGTGATATCCTAGATCTTCATCTAATGAAGACACAGTAAGATATAAACAGCTATCATTTATCTGCTTATTGTTTATCTGGTTGTAAGATCAGCCCATAGGGTGAGAAATTTCTAAATATCTTTTCCCATCCAACTTGCATCACCATAGATTGCTAATAGTGAGGAGAAAGGTTAAGGATGAATGACATGTGAAATATAAGAATGTCCCTGACAACTAACAGTGAATTAGAAAACAATGAGCTGAAAATGGCACCAGGTTATGGCATCACATACCCTTCAAACTCCCTGAGAACTGTAGGAAATGTAGTGATCTTTCTATTTCCCTATGGGCATCACTAAGTAATGATTTGAAAGTTAATTCTTGTTGCATTAATTGTGACCCATGTCATGTGGCATCTGATTGTTGAAGGCTGAAATTGATGAATTGTAATTTTGTTGTATGGAACCTAGTACTATTTAGTTTCGTTATAAGTGAGGAGTTAGGGTCCCAGGATAGTAAGAAAAAAAAAAAAGAGTGATTCTAGCAAAACTATCATGACAGCCCTAATTCTAAATCCCAGACATAGAGGAAGAGAGAGGCGATTTTCTTTCTCTCTTTCTTGAGTGAGTAAAGAGTCGGCCACAGATAGAGTATTGAAATATGCAAAGTTTATGTTTTAAATGCTACCGCCTTCTTTTCTTTACCCTCTCCTACCTCTTAGCATTTTTTTTCCCAGATTCAATACTGTTATAAGAACCTTACTTCATTACTCATCTCAGGCTTAAACTATCCCTGCTAAAAGTGTTTCATATATCACCCTTCCAAACTATTTCCAAAATATCCCTATTTGCATTTTTAAAAGATTCAGTTTTTAAAATCCTAATCAAGTTCTAATTAATGGAATCACTCTTAGTATAGCCAGGAAAAGTTAAAAAAAAATAGCAAGACAATTCTGAGGAAAATTTGTGTCCTAGAGACCACCTTACAAATCATGGTAAGAAATCAGCTCTTCTGGGTCTACTCCTCTAAGTGGCTTATAGCTTGACAGCTTGTTTCTCTTCCTCTAAATCTGTAGAGAGAGAGAATATCTATAGACATATCTACAGATATTTCAAGGTACTGATGGATTCACAGATTCATATTCTCTGTCTCTCTCTCTCTCTGTCTCCTTTCTTATCTTTTAATCGTTTTATAGCCAGGATGGTAGTACACATTTATAATCTCTACTACGGAGGAGTCTGAGATTGCTGGACTGTTTAAACTCAGGTTTTCTGAGTTGCAGGAGGGTTACAACTGATCAGGTGTCCACACTCACTCAGGTATCAATATGGTGAAACCCTGGAAGCCATAGCCATGAGGCTACCAAAGGAAGGAAAATTACAGGTTGGAAATGGAGAGTATCAAAGCTTGTGGGTCAATCCCAGTTTGATTAGCCTGTGAATAGCTAGTGGTCACTATACTTGCAGCTTAGGTGAGATAGGAAGGCACAGATGGAAAATCAAAACAAAAAGAATATTTTAAAATTCAATGTCAAATTTTGAAAATAACATCTTAAATGTCAAAAATCCTGTCTGCTATAACATAAACTTCTTTCTGGCAGGGACTGGATATTCTGTCTTTCTTGCATCCATCATAGTACCTAGCAAAGGGTTACATACGTGGTGTTGTTGTTCACTTGTTTCAATCACATCCAACTCTTCATGACTCCACTTGTGGTTTTCTTGGCAAAGATACTGGAGTGGTTTGTCATTTATTTTTCAAGCTCATTTTAAAAATGAGAAATTGCGGCAAACAGGGTTAAGGATTTGCCCAGTGTCACACAGCTAGCAAGTGTCTGAGGCAGGATTTGAACTCATGAAAGTGAGTCAGTCTTCCCGACATCAAGCCTGGCACTCTACTATGCCAACTAGCTGCCCACATACATGGTAAGTGCTTATTAAATAGTTGGTTCATTGGTTGAAAATTAAAGAATTCTTTAAAAATATAAGAGCATTTTACATTAGGTGCTTTATATCTGTTGACATTTGTCTAACATTTCATTTTCTTAGGAAAACCTCTGCTCCTCATCTTCCCTACAAAATACTCTCAGAGGAGGCCATCCTGTACCTGGCTCATCACTTCTCCCAATGTCCCAGAGACCTTTTTGCTCCTTCTGCCCCACTGCAATCCAATCAAGGTGTCCTGTGCCCTGCAGGCAGTTCATGGGAAAATGAATCTCTTTACATTTTGTCATAAACGTAGGGACATCTGTGAAAGATTGTTTCTGACAATGTTTTCAGGATAGTGGGGTTGAAAAACAAGAATCTCTCAAGGGTCAAGGACTTGGGGCTCATTAGCTTTTACTTTCTCCTGAATGGTGTTCAGGTGTTGGTTGGAGAGCCAGGAGTGACTTTACCTTACTTGTTTTTCACCTCATTGCTTCAGCTGATTACTGGCAGTTTCCTGCTGGGAGATACTGCCTCTTCCCTGGCACAGAACACCTTGAACTCATAGCAGTCCACCAGCCTCCATATATTCTCTTCCTACTGCTCCATTTGTCCACCTTTCCCCTCCCTGACTTCCCATTTTCAGCTTCATAATGGTAAATGTTGCGATTTTATCATTCTATATACAGTGAATTGACTCTGAGGAAAGTTATTGGTCATAAATATAACACACCAAAAAATGGACCGTCATAGGTGGGAATGCTTTGCAATTCCTATATGGTTTTGTGATAAATTACTCTTCCATTTGGAATAAAATGTTCCTGTTAATGTACATTAACACTGCTACATGAAAGAGGTCATGTGTAAATATACACAAAGATAATATTTACAGTGAATCATCAATGTGCTGAACTCGAATTTGACCATCTCTTTATGTCTTTTTGAAAAAAGAATACACTTTTTAAAAAAAAGGACTTCAAAATTCAATGACTTTTGGTCACTAGTGGGCTTTCTATAAAATTTTAAAAGACAGCTATTCGTATTATAATAGTCAATTTGTATTAGCTTTATTATATTTTTAAGCCTACTGGCAAATATATATTTCATCATTTTCAGAATTAAATACCTGATGTTTTAATACCACTGTCTGTCTGTCTGTCTTTCTGTCTGTCTGTCTGTCTCTCCCTCCCTCCCTCTCTCTCTGTTAGCAGCAACTTGAGCCACAATAGCAGGGGAAAAAACAAACAAACAAACAAAACTTTAAGATATTTTATTCAAGCCTCAAAATAAGAAATTCTCTACAAACCAAGGAAGCAGCACATATACAAAAATGCTAGTAGAGGTTCAAAATTCTTCATTTCAATAACCAAAGCATATCCATTCCTAGAACTTTTCATTTCTTGGTGGTGTTCAAAGGGACATTTACATTAGGCACTATCTGACTCTATGTGGTCTATGCTGGGGGTAAATTCAAAGCACTTCTCAGAAGTTCTAGAGCTAAAACATCAGTGGAGGAATTAGAAATTTCTTATTTTCTAGGGGGGAGAGTACCTAGAACTCATCTTTTTCTTGCTTTCAGACATGCTGAATTTTAATACAAGGAACGGAATACTAGACTTCTGTTTAACAAGCTTTCATTTTTGATGCTAGTCTTCCTGCACTGTCTCAAATAAGGGAAGCTAGAATTAGTGAATAGAGTATAATTGGGAAGAAACTTTTCACATTAGAAAAAAATTTGGAATCTATTTTCAAAGGTGCTATGAAGCCTAGTAAAGCACATCAAAATGCCCTTTAGCAAAATATTACACTATTTATAACAGCTAAGCAATTGATTATCTACATTCAAGAATGAGTAAGTCTTGATTCATTGTACTATGCCATGGACTAGAAATTTTGAGTTTAGGAGTTCACCTTTTGTTTTTTATGGTAATCTGCAATATAACACCAAGCATATTTGTCACTTACTATTTGTCATACTGTCCCCCTTTCCAGATAAATTCATAATGGATTACCAAGAGCAAGCTGGCAAACTTATGAGATGGTTATTATTATCATCACCAAACTCATCATCAGGATGAAACATTTGCTAAGAACCTACCCTACATAGTAGACAATGTACTATGATCTGGATGAATAAATAGATATTACCGAAGCTTGTCTGTGCATACCTAGTTCTCCTAACAAGGAAGCACTGTTATGGGCCTTTGGAACATATCCAGACTGCCTAACATAAGTGTATTCGAGTCACCTACCACATGTAGGTGATTCACTTCTTGAATTTTTATAATTGGCAAGATTGAACTAGTCACTTTCTTCTCTGCCTCTCCTTCCTGCTGTGTGCAGCAGAGGAGGGAAGGGGTGCGAATATTCCAGTTAACCCAGTGTGGGTAGCATGAACTGAACAGGTGAGAGAGGAAGGACTTCCTTCTCCTACTCTCCCTCTTTGGCCACAGCTAGAAGAAATGGGTCTATGCTTGTTTCTTTTCTCTTTCATTTGTCCTACGGATTTAAGTCAGGTGACCTTGGAACCAGGCTTACAGGCTTGACAGTGTACACAAAGATCTTAGTTTGGAAGCCCTGAGAAGACAAGACACTTTGGACTCAAGCCCAAGGTAGATTTTATACTTAGAAACTGAGAATGTGCACTACAGGAATTAAAGGAAGCTATGAATCTAATCCCTTCCGCCTCCCCAGAGACT